TCCCACCAAGCTCGAGGACTACGCCTTACGCCCCGTCCCAGGAAGCCTCAGGCCACAGTGTTCCTCAGACCTTCTGGTGGAAAACTGCAGCTCCCTAGTTCGCGTCCTTGGTGCTGAACAAGCTTCTGGAATGTTCCAGCACCAACTGATCAGTTTCTTCCAGACTCATCAGAGTTTCTCTAGATGGCATCGCGATTCCTATCCCAGATCTCCCGGGGCTCAGCATCTCTCCCTGCTCCCCGTCTGCTCAGCGCCTGGCCAGCAGCAGAAACCCTCTCCCCAGCCAGCACCGTGGCCAGAGGGCTCTCCACGCAGGACTGCAAAGCAGGATGGAGCCCTGGTCTGGAGGCTCATCTGGTCAACCACGTCTCCAGTGGTCTGCAGTCAGGACACCAACCTACTCGGGCACAAATGAAGGGAGGCAGCTGGTGCCGGGGAGAACCGTCCAGGCTGAGCATCTGACTGGCCTGAGGGCAAGTCCTGGCACTGCTGATGACTCGCTCTGAAACTTGGGTGTGTCGTGGACTCAAGACCCTCTGTTTCCTCACCGACATAATGCCCGGCAGCTAGAGTTGTTTTGAGGGGCAGTGTGCACCCACAAGCCAGCCCCTGATGTGGCTGCCCTGGCCTTGGTGTAAGGACTTGGGGTGATGGCTTGTGCTGAGCTCACAGAACTCCTTCTTGTCCTGTGGCATGAATGAGCCCCAAAAGGACAAAACAGCTAGACGGACTGGGCAGTGGTCCTCAGCCAGCTGCTCTGGGGTGGGACAGACACCAGGGAGACAGGCTCCGGGGCACGTGACTAGGAGGGTGAACAGCATAGGTAGGGCACAGGGCCAGCGGGGTGATGGGCATCCCAGCCAGCCCCAGGCTGCAGGGAGGCACAAACCAGAATCCCAGGGGCAGCTGCATGGGGGTCACCCTGTGCTCAACCACACCCAGCCCTGACTGACACAGCAGGTGCCCAGTGAGCACTGAGTGGATGAATGAACTGAACAGCAGGGCACGTGAGGGCGCAGCACACACTGCGATGCCAGCGCTGCTGGGATGGCAGCATCGGCTGCCTCTGGGCATCACTGAGTGACTGTCTTTCGGGGAAGAGGCTGTCGTCTAGTGCAGTCTATCCACACCTGCCTCCCTCGCTTCCCAGGTGACAACCCCAGGGCCACTTCAGGCAGGACACCTCTGAGATGAAGTCCTCGACGAACTGCTCTGTTAGTACCTCTGATCCTAACCCGGGGAGCTGAAATTTAACACGGGTGGCCACCTGGTTGCCTCTTGACAGAGATCCTGTTGACTCATCCCCTTGAGAAGGGAGCGGGCAAAGTTCAACTGCATGGGCCCCACAGGCTGCCCAAAGGGGCAGCTATCACACTGTTTTCAACATGAGCCATGACATCAAGGCTAGCCCACTCAAGATCTGAGGGCCACCTCACCCTTAACCAACGGGCAGCCTGAAGCAAATCAATGACCCCTAAGAGCCAGGGGCTGAGCAGGCGGGAGGAGCTGGCAGGGCAGCCGGAGCCCACATATGGACCTGGTCCTGCTGGGGGATGGTGGTGGCTTTGAACCCAGGGAAATCTACGGTCCAAGAAGCCAGTCTGGAACATTCTGGTCCTCAGGAAGCCCATTTGGATGCCCAGGTGACAGAGCAAAAGTTGACAGATCCATGCACCACGGCAACCTCTGTGCCAGGCCCTGTCCTGGCCCAGAGTAGGTATCAATCACGATCTGTTGAGTTGATGGTCTCATTAGTGAATCCACAAAGAAGGTGTTGCCAGGGTTACAACCCTGTCCCTGTCCCCCCACCTGGAGCCCTTGTGCCCAGATATATCCTCTCTGACTATAAGCACTTACGCAGTCCCAGTTGGCTGGGTCTGAGCCACTCTCCCCGTCATGCTGGCCCCATATCAGTCACCATGGTTCTCACAGCCGGGCGTCTGTACTGTGTGGCTAACACTCATTGCTAGGAGAGCTCTCAGGACACCCCTCTGCAGTCCTAGCGCCTGACCTCAGCCCTCTTTCCCTGAGCTCTGCCCATGCCTGGACTAATGCATTAGCTGCCCTGGAACTGTTGCCAGGTGCACAGCCAGAGGCGCTGTGTCCGCGAGCCTGTGTGCCCCCATTGTCCACGGTCTCACCCCGGCCAGCGGTGGGGATGGCCTCCCGTGCCCTGACTTCTTCCCAGCCCGGCCCCTCCCGATTATGAAAAGGACGGCCCTGGCCGTGCTCTCAGCCATCTTTATTTGATAAAGGAGCCTTTTATCGCTAGGTGAAGTGGATCTGGGACTCAGCATCTTGCAATCAGGACAAACCTGAGCTTCAAACACATCTAACGGGGGCCCCAGTATTTAAAAGCACTTTCCATTGACATTCTTGGGGGTTCAGTCTGCCTGTCTGAAGCATCAGCTGCCTCCTCCTCCTGGCTGATTATTCCTCTTCCGAGTTCTGTACTTAAACTGTAAGCTGACCTTCAGTGAGAGTTTATCTCTGGGAACTCGTTACACCTGGGTGGGTGGCACAGCTCTTGAGCGGTGTTGCATTTGCCTCCGCCGGACCCTCCCGGTGGTCCAGAGCTGACGTTTATGTTGGAGTGTTCAGGACCAGGAAGATTGTATAAATCTGAACCCCAAAACTCGTACGAATGCAGGTCGTCCACAGTTACAAATCCTTAGGGAGATTTTTCTTTTTGTTTGTCCCCGGAGCTCATGTATAACAGACAAGTTTTTTTTCCATCTCCCTGGACTATATTTTAGAAACCGAACTTTTATTGATTTACACTTCAGTGGAAGTGAATCCCACGTGAGGCAGAGGTTTCCATCCAGTTCCCTATCCTGATCAGCTCGAAGCCTCCCTCTGTCCTATGTGGACACCAGGACCTCAGCCCGCGGCCACCAAGACCAGCGACTGCCCTCTGTGGAGACCAGAGCTGCACAGCCTGTTCCCGACTCACATCGCCACTGCGACTTCGATTCCCTCTGCATTTCTGGAGCAAGGGGTTCCTTCCTTGCTTGCTAGTTCGGCTATGCATGTAAAATACCATTTGCTCCATTTTACCCTCCATTCCTAGGGGTTGGGTAGCTAGGAAACTTCCAGATGACCTGGTCCACCCCAGTGCTAGAAATCCAGGTCTGCCTCTGCACTTTACAAAATAGCCTGGAGCCCAGAGAGGGAAAGCGAGCTGCCAGAGGCCACACAGCACGTTTGAGACCTACCTAGGCCTTGGCCCCAGGCCTCTGGATCACTTTCTCTCTCCTTCAGGCGATAAAGAAAGATGTGCTTCAGCTATGAACTCAAGCAACCTTTGGCACACTCTAGCCCCGCACCCCACAGAGAAGAGGCTGTCCAGGGAAGCTGATGAGAAAGGGAGGGCAGGGTTTCTGTTCCAAGTGATTTGGAGGAGGGGCCAGTGGAGAGAGGGGCAGACAGCCTAGTGGGGGCTGCACACTCACGCTTCCTGGAGCTCGGCTGCAGCTCCTCCACGCGGTACACGGAGAGCCGGCCGACACCTCCGCACGCCGAGCCCTTCTCCCCCTTGCACTCGTGCTTACACTCCTCCGGCCCGACGCTCAGCACCGGGAGCCGGTTCCCGCAGTAGCACTCTGTCCCGGCCTCCAAGCCGGCGTAGACATAGGACCTGCGGGGAAAGCGGGCCTGGGATAAAGCTGCCCTTGGCCCAGAGCCAGGCCTGGCGTCCTAACAGCTGGCTGTGGGGCCAGGATGAGGGCTGGGCTTGAAGCTGCGGTTAGGTCTGGATGAGAAGGCAGGGGCCACGGCCATCAGCGTGCGGCTGGCCTCAGGGGTCATCTGCCTGGGTTTAGGGAACAGTCTTTCCTTTGTGCTAAGCTGACTGAGTCAGCCCCACTGGTTCCTCTCCTCAGCCCTGAGCTTTGTCCCCTAAGGTGCTGGCCATGTGACAGGTCATGATGGGTCTACAGCAGTGGTGAGCTGGTAGCTGGCTCTCGGGAGGGGAGGGAAGGGGCCTAATTGGTGGCATTTGCCAATTTCTGTAGGTGATTTCAAGCTAGCGAGGGTTCAGCAATGGGTTTACAGCATTTCTGAAATTTAACTGTCTGCTCTTGTGAGCCATGAGCTGGCTCCAGCTCACCACTGGTCCAAAGGGCCCTCCACATGTTACAAGCAGGCCCTGCCACAAGCCTCCCTGCCCTGGAGACCGCTCTTACCCGCCTCCACCCAGCTGTAATGCTGTTGGTAAGGAGAGAGAGAGAACGGAACCGATATGGTACCACACGGGATTTAACATTTTCAAACTCCCTCCTCAGTGGACCTAGGCATAAAAACCCAAATTGAAAACCCAAACACCAGCTCCTAACCCTTGTTTGGCCCCTGCTGGCTGTGTGATGCTGAATATCCCTTACTACCCCTGAGCGCCAGTTTCCTGAACTGTTAGGAGAATAGAATGAGATAGTGTCCATCTCAGTTTTATCGCCCTTGACAGGGGCCCTGTCCTTTCCTTCTCTGGCCTCAGTTTCTCCACCTATAAAATGGGCATGATTAGTTGGTACCTAGCAGAAGGTGGTGAGGATTTATGACACAACAAATATGAAAGAATCGAATGGGATTGAAATAATGAGTACCATCTGCTGATTCTTTTGTACGCTCACAAACACACATGCACACGCACACACATGCACACACACACACAGAGTGGTCTGTGACAGCCTTGATGGTAGAGACCACTCCCTGGCATATGACTAGTGTCTGGTAACGACTGGGTGAGTTGGCAGCAGCAGAAAGAGTAAATCTTGTTTGAAACACAGTAGCTGTTCCTACAGAGCGAGACGGATCCTCAGAGAAATCTGGGGTAAAGCCCTTGATTCTATTTTAAACATATAAGTAAACTGAGGCTGAGGAAAGGCAGAGGGCTCAGAGCTAAGTCACATGGCAAGTTCCTGGCTCAGCAGCATTAGAACTTGGTCCCTGGACACCGAGCCCAGGGTTCTATCCACAACCCCAGCCACTTCATCAATAAACTTTCTCTCTTCTGGACAGCTGGGCCCCGATCAATCAAGCTCTAATTAGTTCCACTCTGGATGCCATTGGCAGCCTTAGTATCCCCTCCCTCTGGGGAATGTCTCTTGACCTTATTTCCGGTGGCATCCGGGGTCCGGGGCCCCACACTTACCGCTCAGCGCAGGCGTCCTGGCAGTGGGAAACGGTCATCTTTCTCAAGTCAAAAAACACAGTGCCCTTCAGCGTTCTCTCCTGGCCGTCGTCACGGAAGCAGCCAACATAGGTGCCTGCAGGCGAGAAGCACAGCAGAGACTCGGAGGCCCTGGGGAGGGAGGGGTCCTAATGGCAGCCCACCCTGAGCGAATGCCAAGGTCACCCCCAACCCTTCCGGGCAAGGGTAGCTCTCAGAGAAGCCGGGGCATGAGGCTGTGGTCCAACGTCCCCGGCAGTGCTTCTGGATATGTCAACCCTGTTCCCTTCTGCCCCTTTTCTTGGTTAATGGCCCACTGGCCCCCAAGACACCCTGCCAGGACCCTGGTGTCAGTCTGAACACCACCTTCTTCCATCGCAACTCAGCAAGTCAAGTACCTCCCCTGGACCACCCCCATCCCTGCCCTTCCTGGGCTTGGAGAGGCCTCCCAGCTCCACAAATGTCCCGAGTGGCAGGTTCTGTCACCTCCTTGTCATCCAGAAGAAGGAAATTTATTGTGGAAACTCTGACTGTAGAGAATATAAACCAGATCCTGCAGATAGAGCTATTTCAAGAAAAAAAAAATCTTCCGTCCCAGGTGAGAGCAGGCCCCCATCCCTGGAGGGGTGTAAGAAGCCTTGAGCGTGTAAGAGAGCTGTCCTCTGCAGGACTCAGCAGGGCCGTGGACTGCGGGGCCTGCCAGTTCAGGCATCCCTGGCACACCCCTGGAGGGAGAACATGGCTCCACAAAGAGGTGGCAGTGCTGACCCAGACATGCACATGCCAGGGAAGTCTGCAACAGCCCTGCCCTGCCACCCTGAGAGGGCGGTATCTCTTCCCTTCCAGGCAATGAACCTCTTAGATTCCATCAGCACACAGGTGGTCACACCCCATGTCCATGCAGAGGCACATGCTACCCCCTCCACACAGGGCTTCCAGACCCCCAGGCCATGGAAGCTTCTCTCTCCTTTTCTGTAAAGTCTCAGGACTTCTGAGACCAGCATGGACCGCTGCAGGAAGATTTCACCCAGGTCAGTGAGAATAAATTGCTCTCCTTAGCCTGCCTGCTTAGTAAAAGAAAACGAATATTTCAGAAATTCCTCGTGTGTTGCTCAGCGACAAAGAAATTCTATTACAGCTTTCAACTAAACATCCAAAACACAAGCTCGGGGGTGTTAAACATTTATCACTGCTGGTGAGGAATTAACCTAAAGGTTGCAAAGATGCCCTGGCTCAAGACCCTTGAAGGCTGAGAATGGCAGGGACATGTTTCTGGGGGAGCAGGGAACAGCTTTTGGGAATGGGCTGACTTAGGTTCAAGTCCAGGCTCCACCCTTACCTGCCTGGGTGACCTCGCATGTGCAGCTTCCCCTCACTGAGCCTCAGCTTACCCATCTGTGAACTGGGGCTACAGGCCCATGGAATTCATGGGGCGCTGATAAGAATTCCACAGCACCTGGGAAGTGTCTAATGCAAGGCATGGCATGTGGTACGGTACCCGCTGTCGTGGTTGTGTTTATTGTTAATGTATCATTATTAATATAAACACTTAAAAATTACTATACTTCCCTGGAACTCAAGTTCTTCATCATTAAAATGGTGATAGCACCACATACATATTAGGCTGTTCGAAATTAAATGAGATAACAGATGTACATCCACACAGAACAATGCTTGACCATTAACAGACGTTCGAATAAATAACAGCTATTATTATTCTGATCCTTCACTCTAACCTGGGACCTGGTATGATGATGGATCAGTGAGTATCGGCTGAATAATTACCACATTCATAAAAGAGAGAAAGAAGTGGTTTCAAGCAGTCAGGCTCGGGTTCTTCAGAGAACAGGGAGGGGCGAACCAGTCAGCAGCTGCCCACGTCTGAACTGTCCTGCCCTCGCCCGGCTGTCCCGCTCAGCGTGTAGCAGGGGCCTGAGACGCAGATGAGGAGGAGGTGAACTCTTTCTTCCGGAAAAGTAACGAATGGCTTTTCTAACTCCCTGACAGAGGCAAGAATGTGCGGAAAGAAAAGGGCTTCCGAGGGATACGCTGGGACACATTCCGAGGCGGATTTATTACTTTCGGCTGAAATGGAGGCGATGCATTATTGTCTGTGACTCCACATCTGTTCATTTGCACATCAAAATGGACATGCTGCGAGGCTATTAATGATGGCTTTGGAGATATTGGAATGTCTTTGGAAATTACTATCAATAAAAAACAAACCGGCCATGGAGAAGTTACTATTTTTCCCCTAGTAAACGTACTGACATTTTATTCCATTATGGATGTTGTCCAAGGTATAATGAAATGCTCAGTGATTGATGGAGCCTCCTGCAGCTTCCTAGGCTTGCAGGATCCCTTTTCAGGAGGATGGCAGGCTGCCCGCGCTTCAAAGAGACGCCCTCTTTGTCTGCAGCCCCAGCAGCTGTCCCGAGGGCTGGACTGAGGGCTACTCTCCACCAATGAGGCCTGCCTGGTTGTGCAGGGCCCCCAGAGCGGAAGGGGGCTCCCAGAGGGTTTTCAGGCCAGTGCCCTGCCTCTTCCCTCTTTCTCTGAAGATTTCCAGCCATGTGACACCACCGACCCACCCAGAGCACAAATTCCTCCTGAAATCTTGGGGGATATTAAAATCTTTAATAACCTATGGAGTTACTGACCATTCAACACTAGAGTTCCTGCTGTACCAGGTATTAACTCTTCACTTGCTGCTGGGTCATGGGGGTCACTGGGGAGGGCAGCAGAGTGCATAGGCACTCAGGATAGTCACCATTCCAATATTTTAAGAACTGATAAGGCCATACTGGTGTATAGCGGCTGACCTAACCACAGTCCTTCAGCCTTCACTGGAGCCCCATTCTGTCACTTTTTTAAGTCACTGAAGATGACTTAAAGGGGGTACCCACTGGTTCTCCTGGACACATGCACGCAACACCCAGGGCTATAACTAGGTCACCCTGAGCCCTCCCCTCTGCTGGCCAGACACGTTGAAGTCAGGTTATAAAGAACTAGTCACGTCTGCCTAATAAGCCCAAAGCCCTTTGCACCTGCCTCCCTCATGCCCTAGTCGTGCTGTGTAGTAAACATGTGGGTGCGTGTCTGACTCTGTCACCAGACCCAGATCCTGAAGTGCACTGTGACTAGCATACATGGAGACCCAGACACGAATCCTCAATAAGTGCAGATTGAGAGCAATAAAGAGAGGAATTGCAGCTAATTTGCCCAAGGTCACAGAGCCCAGAACTGGCAATACCAAGAGAGGCACTCAGCTCTGCTTTCAAAACTTGTGCTCTTTCTATGGCTTCGTCTCAAGAAATCCATGTTGACCTTGTCAGTCATCGACACTTTAGTCTAAATGAGTTATACTGGTGCCACCTGCATAGGGACCCAGTCTCTGGGTGAGTTGAGGAGAGTTTGTAGAAATCATACCTGCATAAAATGAGCAGCAGAATCAGTTCCTCATTTCTCCCATGAAAGCCTTGCTGAGGAACCCCATGGTGAGGGCTTTGACCCTGATGGTTTTAGAAGAAGCTTCCTTCCATGCAGACGGCAATGCAGTCTTCCAGTCTACATTGTACTGAGCCACTAGGGTCATCCTCCTAAGGTGAGGGAAGCCTGGGCTGCTTTCTCTTTCCTGGCACCTTCTCATTATCCTTAGAATAAAGCCAGATTCCTAGGCGTGATCCTCATAGCCCTCCCTGACTCAGGCGCCAGACCTGAACTCAAAGCCCACGCTCCAATCGCCTCACATCTTTCTGTATCCTGCCATGGAGGCTTCATTCTCCAACCACACTTTTTATAGGTAAGAGAGCAATTCCCCCTGTGACTTAGGGTGCAGGACCAAATGGGGCGGTGACAGAGATGCTGAGATGCTGACGGAGCCGTCAACACCCAACAACAGCCATGACACTTTCTGGGTGCTCATCACATGCAGGCTCTGTTCCTGGGCCCACACAGAGCCTGTATAACCCAGTGCACAGAGCCCCGACCTGAAGCCAGGCTGTTCTCATGTTAGGATCTCAGCAGTGTGACTGTGGCGGGCCCACCTGTGTCCCCCAGGCTGCACCTTGAGATGCATGCCCCACCCTTATTCTGAGCCCCCACCTGCTCCGCTCCATAACACACCCTTTATTGGCTGTCTTCTCTTCCCTGGCTCACTTCTCACTCCCTGACAGTGTTCCCAGGATCACAGCCCTACTCTACCACGTGCATTGGAATCCTGGTTTCAGGGTTTGCTTCTTGGAACCCAAACTAAGAGAATGACCTTGGGAACTGACTTAACTTCTTTGTGCCTCAGTTTCTTCATCTATAATACTGGAATATAACATAGAACCCATATATAGCACATTTACAGGAACATAGTAAATGACATATGAGTTAGCTGTTTTTATTAAGTGATAACAGCTGCCAGTTACTGAATGCCGAATAAGGTACTAGGTCAGTGATGGCGAACCTTTTGAGCTTGACGTGTCAGCATTTTGAAAAACCCTAACTTAACTCTGGTGCCGTATCACATATAGAAATTTTTTGATATTTGCAACCATAGTAAAACAAAGACTTATATTTTTGATATTTATTTTATATATTTAAATGCCATTTAACAAAGAAAAATCAACCAAAAAAATGAGTTCGCACCTATCCGGTTTGGCTCAGCGGATGGAGCGTCAGCCTGCGGACTCAGGGGTCCCGGGTTCGATTCCGGTCAAGGGCATGTGCCTTGGTTGCGGGCGTGTCCCCGGTGGGGGGGCAGGAGGCAGCAGCTGATCGATGTTTCTCTCTCATCGATGTTTCTGGCTCTCTCCCTTCCTCCCTGTGGAAAATCAATAAAATATATATTAAAAAAATGAGTTCGCGTGTCACCTCTGACACGTGTGTCACCTCTGACACGCGTGTCATAGGTTCGCCATCACTGTACTAGGTCCTCTAGCCCAGGCTTCCTCTGCTTAGGTGTATAATGTACATCAGAATCACCGGGGAGGGTGGCTACATGGACTGCGACCCCTGCCCCAGAGCTCAGGATCCCCCAAGTCTGGGAGAACCCGAGAATCTGCACTTGGAACAGACTCCCCTGTGATGCTGAAGCTGCCGTTCTGGGACCCCACCTTGCGAGCCACTGCTCTACACGATCACATTTAATTCCCACAACAACCCTGGGGCAGGCATCTCTATCTCCGTTTCAGAGGGACCCAGAGAAGGTAAGCGCCATGTTCAAGGCTACCCGACAAGTTTGTGGCTAAGCCAAGATTCAAGACAAGGATGGTCTGAACCCAAAGCCTGAGCTCAAGGTGACCTGCTCACACATCCTGCCTGAGCCATGTGGAAGCCCAGCTGGTGAGGGAGCGAAACTCCAAGGGTCTTCCCATCACAGGCCCTCCCCGTGCCGTGCAAGCAGGAGGGGAGGGACAACAGGTGAAGGCCCGGGGTCTGCAGTGCCTACTCCTCAGGCCGCCCCAGGGGCCAGAGAAAGGGGCCTCTGATCCAAATATGCCAGAGGAACCAGGGCTGAGCACCTACCTCGGCTGCTGGCGGCTGGCCTGGGGGCCACGGGGCCCAGGGCGGGCAGCTCCTGGGGGTCAGCCATGAAGGGGAGGA